TAGCAGCGGGAGTAGTGGTAGTAGTAGCAGTCGTAGTCGTAGTCGTAGTCGTAGTCGTAATCGTAGTCGTAGTCGTAGTAGTGGTAGTAGTAGTAGTAGTAGTAGTAGTAGTAGTAGTAGTGGTAGTAGTAGTTGTTGTTGTTGTTGGGTTGTAGCAGTAGCAGTAAGTAGTAGTAGTAGTAGTAGTAGTAGTAGTAGTAGTAGTGGTAGTGGTAGTGGTAGTGGTAGTAGTAGTAGTAGCAGCAGCAGCAGCAGCGGCGGCCGTGGTGGTGATGGTGGTGGTACTAGTAGTCGTAGTAGTAGTAGTAGTAGTAGTAGTAGTTGTTGTTGTTGTTGTTGTTGTTGTTGTTGTTGGTGCTGTGGTTGTTGTTGCTGTTGCTGCGTTTGTAGTTGTCGTTGTTGTTGCTACTGTTGCCGCTGCGGCTGCTCCTGCCAGTGCTGCTGCTGCGGCCATGGCCATTGCCGTTGTTGATTTTGATGTTGATGTTGAGATTGTTGCCGTTGTTGCTGCTGTTGCTCTTGGTGCTCTTGTTGTTCCTGTTGTTGCTGCTGTTGCATGCTGTCGCTTGTTGTTGCTTATTGTTGCTTGCTGCTGCTTGTTGTAGCGTGTTGTTGTTGTTGCTGCTGTTGTTGCTTGGTGTTGTTTGTTGTCGTGTGCTGTTGTTGTTTGCTGTTGCTGCAGGCAAACAGAGCTACCATCTGAATTGTTTGTTATTGCTTGCTGTTGCTTGCTGTTGCTTGTTGTTGCTGTTGGTTGTCCGTTGTTTGTTGTTGTTTATTGTTGTTTGATGTTGTTTGTTGTTGCTGTTGTGGTTGTTGGTGTTGCTGTTGTTGGTGGTGCTGCTGTCGTCGTCGTCGTAGTAGTAGTAGTAGTGGTAGTAGTAGTGGTGGTAGTGCTAGTCAGACGAATCGAGGAGGAGGATGACCAGGAGGAGGAGGGTTGTATCACGTAGCCGGTCAAAGTGCCCAAGCCACGCTTCCGAACATCGGACACATTGCGAAGCAGTTCGGGAGGTGTTGCTGTTGCTGCGGCTATTGTGATCTCTATCGGTGTTGCTGCTGCTGCTATCGTCGTCGTCGTCGTCTTCGTCGTCGTCGTCGTCGTTTTGCTGCTGTTGTTGTTGTTGTGCTTGTGCTTGTGCTTGTGTCTGTGCTTGTTGGTGCTGTTGTTGATGTCTTTGTTGTTCCTGTTGTTGTTGACGCTGTTGTTGTTCTTCTTGTCATTGGCATGATTTATGATCTGGTTACTATTCTTGTTGTTGTTGTTGCTGTTATTATTGTTGCTGTTGCTGCTGTTGATGTTGATGTTGCTGTTGTAGCCGTTTTGTTGCTATTCTTGTTGTTCTGTTGTTGATGTTATTGTTGAAATTATTGATGCTTGTAATTGGTATTATTGTTGTTGCTGCTGTGCGAATCATTGCTACTGGCATTCTTATTGTTCTTGTTGATGCTGTTATTGCTATTTTTAGGGTGCTATTAGTCTTGATGGTGGTTTTTGCTGTTGCTGCTGCTGCTGCATGCTGCTGTCGCTGTTGTTGTTGTTGTTGTTGTTGCAGTTGTGGTTGTTGTTGCTGCGGTTGTTGTTGTTCTTGTTCTTGTTGGTGTTATTGCTGCTGCTTTTCTTCTTGTTGTTGTTGCTGGTTGCTGGTTGCTGCTTATTGTTGACAGGTTGTTGCTGCAGGCAAGCAAAGTGACCATCTGCGTTGTTTGTTTGTGTTTGTGGTTTGTTGTGGCTGGTGGTGGTGGTGCTGCTGCTCCGGCTGTGGTCGTCGTCGTAGTAGTAGTAGTAGTAGGCGGTGCAGCAGCAGCAGCAGCAGCAGCCGCAGCAGCAGACCGGTCAGAGTGCTCCCAAGCCACGCCGCCAAACACAGTTATGGAGGAGGCCGCCGCGGATGAATTCTACAGCTTCTCGGCTTTACTGGTTTTGCTACAAAACTCGGCTATTGATATATCAATTTAGCCGCGCCCCCTCTCCTCCCGAAGTCAGAGAAAAAATCGTATGAACCGTTCCCCCCGCCCCCCCTGACCCCTGCCGCCTCACAAACACATGAACTCTTGTGAACCGTTCAATTTACCACCACCCCCGCCTCCCTCGATAATATGCTGGTTTCTGACCTTGGACATCCTCCCTA